TCAATCACTCCTCGTTTCCCCCGACGACTGCTCCCCTGCAGACTCTCCACATGGACGTGTGGGGCCCAGCCCGCGTCCGTGGACAGGGCCGCGAGCGCTACTTTCTGCTGGTCGTTGACGACTACTCGCGTTACACCACGGTCTTCCCCTTGCGCAGCAAGGGGGAGGTCCCTGATGTTTTGATCCCTTGGATCCGCGCTGTCCGTCTCCAGCTCCGCGAGCGGTTCCACACGGACCTTCCAGTCCTGCGTCTGCACTCTGACAGAGGTGGTGAGTTTTCCTCCGACCTCTTGCGGGACTTTTGTCGTGGGGAGGGCATTCTCCAGTCGTTCACGCTTCCGGCCTCTCCGCAGCAGAATGGGGTTGCTGAGCGCCGCATTGGCTTAGTCATGGAGGTCGCTCGTACCTCCATGATCCATGCGGCTGCCCCCCATTTTCTGTGGTCGTTTGCGGTCCGGTACGCTGCGCATCAGCTCAACCTCTGGCCCCGTGTCTCCTTGCCGGAGACCTCGCCTACACTGCGTTGGACGGGGAAGGTTGGCGATGCGTCGGTGTTCCGGGTCTGGGGTTCTCGTGCCTTTGTCCGCGATACGTCCGCGGACAAGCTCTCCGCCCGCGCCATTCCCTGCGTCTTCCTTGGTTTTCCCCCTGACGCGCCTGGCTGGCAGTTTTACCACCCCACCTCACGCCGTGTCCTGCCCTCTCAGGACGTCACGTTCGACGAGTCGGTTCCTTTTTACCTTCTCTTCCCCTACCGCACTGCTTCTCTCCCCCCCCCGCCGCTCTTCCTTGCACCAGGTCCTCCTCCGGTAGACCCCCTCCCCCCTCAGGGTCCTGCTCCCTCAGGTGTATCCCAGGTAGACGCTGTCGAGCCTGTCAAGGTCGCTGTCGACTCTGGTGCTGCTAGGGGTGGTGCTGCTGGGGGTGCTGAGCCTGAGCGTGCGGAGCCTGGGGGTGCTGAGTCTGGGGTTGCTGAGTCTGAGGGTGCGGAGCCTGGGGGTGCTGAGCCTGAGCGTGCGGAGCCTGGGGGTGCTGAGCTTGGGGGTGCTGAGCCTGAGCGTGCTGCGCCTGGAGGTACTTTGTCTACTGGAGGTTCTCCGGGTGCCTCGTCACGGCGGGAGACTCTCTCTCCACCGCAGCTGCGCGAGTGGTTTGCTCGGCGCTGGAGCCTTCGGAGTGACACTGCTAGAGCTGGGGGCCTGCCGCTGGAGACCCTGGAGCTGGAGGCGAAGGAGCTGGAGGTACCGGAGGTGCTGGAGCTGCTGGTCCTGGAGGTGCTGGAGGTACTGGAGGTTCTCCGGGTGCCTCGTCCCGGCGGGAGCCTCTCTCTCCACCGCAGCTGCGCGAGTGGTTTGCTCGGCGTTGGAGTCTCCATAGTGGCGCTGCTGCGGTGGAGAGAGAGGCTCCCGCTGGGGGCCCAGCGCCATTCCCTGCTCCTTCTCCTTACACTGGGCCGACAGGAGGTCTTGCGGAGCGTCGTGAGCTTGAGTCTCGTCCTGCGTCGCCTGTTCGTGCTGTACGCACTGGTCGTCGTGTTCCGCGTCCGCGTCCTCCTCCTGTCCCCGGCACGCACCAGATGGCACTCCGTCCTTCCTCTGTTCAATAGCGTGACCCTCTGCCGTCTCCTCCTGCGTCCTCTCATCCTGACGTTGCTGACCCGCCGTCAGACCTTACCTGGACATAGTACCCGCCAAATTTAAAGACCCCCTGGGTGGCTTGTGCGGGGTGGGTGCTTTTACTAACCTTGTTTTTTATACCCCCCTTTTGGGCGGATTTTTTATAACACCTCCCTATTCTTACAAAATTCCTTATTGTAGATGTTAACGAGAACTGCGAGTATGGAAGAACATCGCAAGGATTCCTTTCTCGACAAAATAACTTTTGAGATTCCCTCCCTCATACGGCCTTTCGCTGTTGCCAACTTGCCACGCTGGAAATATTTCGCTATCAGGTGGTCAAAGAGGTGTCGCATGGCATATTCAAGGGGGTGAAAAACATATCGTCGAAACTCACATTCGCGCCAAAAATCGTGACGATAAGGCAACCATAGAAACACCCAAAATTCCCATTTAAACAAACCAATACACTCAAAGGTGTCATATTTATCAGCATTTTATCATACGGTATCGTTCCACCCTCTGCTCATTCTCTGCCAAATATTCCTCCCTGGTCCAATCATCTAGCTCCTTCGTCAAGTCCGCCCGATCCGCTCTGAACGCTGCGCGCGGCTCTTGCTTCACGAACCTCATCGGCAAGGTCCCGACGGAGCTTTCGAGATCCCAATACTGCACCCGGTACAACACCTTTTCCTGCTTCGTGCAAATCGTGGCTCCCACTTTGTATAGCAGCTCCATGCGCACCAACATGTCGTAGTCCTCGGACTTTGACACTTCGCATGCTACTCGAATTCTGCACTCCTACTCCGTCCCGGGCTGCAAGACAACTTCCACTGGCTGCTTTGTCTTCGGCTCCACTTCGGGGCTCCTCCCATTGCTGTCATTACCAGGACCCCCCTCTCTATCTGCTTTTCAGGTAGATCTAGCTTCAGCTGAGTGGCCATCCCTTTTCCAATGAGCACATGGTGCGCACCCGTGTCAATGATGGCTTGGGCCACTCGCAGACCTCCCACGGCTAAGCTTCCCTTCTCGGCGATTTGACACACGAGGCCCTCGTTCAGGTGCCTCCTCATGTCGCTGCTGCGGGTCTCTTCTCGCCTCGGCACTCTCCTTTCCCGTCGGCTGGTGATGCTAGTTTCTTCCGAGACTTCGGATCTGCTTCGTAAGTCGATGTCGCTACACTCCCGCGGATGTTAGCTCTGCCTCGCCTTCTTCCTCTATCACGAGCATCGCTTGACCGCTTGTATTTCCCTTGGGCATGCGATCCATTTGCAGCTGCAACTTCTGCAGTTCCGCCTGCAACTCCTCCCCGGACAATCCTTCCATTGGGTCTCTTCTCGAGTAACACTCCTCCGCACGATGCCCCCTTTTTCCGCATCAATCACAAGAGGGCGCCTTAGGACAGTCTCGCTTGAGATGTCCTTGCTCTCCACACGTGTGACAGTGTCGTAGATCAGCCCTCTCTCGCAGCCCCCTCTCTTGCTCCGGTACGGCCGCCTCTGCCCAGCTCGATTTCGGCTTAGGTCTGCCTTCGTTATCTTCCATATCCAACAGTCAATGGGCGTGCTCGGTGCGCTTCGCCAATCCGTATGCTTTGTTCAGGGTGATATCTGCGCCGATCCCGTACACAGCAGTACGGAGCACCGTTCTCATCTCGTCCTCCAACCCCTTCACGAACTTCTGCACCAGCAGTCGCTCGTCTTGCTTCTCCAAGTCTTCCACTAGCTCCTTGAGGCGATTGTAGTACGACATCAGCGAATCTTCCTTTCGCCTGCGGAATTCCTTGTATTCCTCCATCCTCGCCTTCGTCTGTCCCACGAATCCCTTTCTCAGCAGCACGAACCGATCTGTAGAATTATCGATCGTCCCCGCGGTGAGTTTTTCCAGGATTTCTCCCTGCACCATTCTATAAAACGTTTCGGCCTCTCCTGCGAGGGTTGCCAACATCTTCCTGAATAATTCCTGTGGGTCAAACCCATCGCGCTCCCAGCAGTATTGTACTGCTTCCAACTGCATAAGGTAGGTCTTGAGCATGGGTCCGACGCCAGGCACCCCCGTGTAGCGTTCGGCCACTTCCACATTGGGTAGCGACGCTGCGTTCCACCTCCTCACCGGCGACAACTCTGAGACTCCGTCTCCCGGCACTTCGAACGTCTCATTACTTGTTATCACCGCTCGGCGTCCCTGTTTAGCGTCCTTCGCGCCATAGTTCTCTTGCCGCCACTGGCAATACGTCGCACGCGGTAGTTCTCTCATTCCCAGCATTAACGATGGGGATTCTCCCTCCGGACGTGCCTTCCACCGCTCTCTGGCTTCTTTAGCCCACCGCACATCGTGGGGCACCGTGCCCGGATCCGACGTCGCTCCTATTTTTCCTTCGCTTCCCTGCTTTTGCTCAGCTTGTTCACGGTGATGCGGTATAACGGCGATGTACTGTGTCGTGGCGTCGACTCGCTTCTGGCTTCTGGATGTGGGTTCTCCGTTTGCGCGCCCCAACTCGGGGTAGCGCGCGCTGTCTCCGTAGTCTTTCTATGATAACTGTAGCCTGATCTTAGGTGAACTCGATCGGTCATTGCTTGCTTGTATGTACTAGAAATGGCTTGACGGTACCATACCGCTGACCTATAATGTAGTAGTTTTCTCGGCTGGCTGCTTGGCTTGAGATGGCTTCTCAATAGCAAGATTGGAAGAAGGTCCTTTGCTACTAGAGAGAAAACATACAACCAAGCAACCAGTGATTCAGATTGTGCTTGTCTAAGTACTAGCTACACTTACCGTTGCCTTGTCACTCCCTCCTTTCCCAACCAATCCTTCTTGCTTCCCGCCCTTGGTTCATCCGTCCGTTGGTTTGGCCCGTTGCTGTTCCTCGATACATATACCCTACTCTAGCATCTCCTACTCAAACTCAGGCAATTATACTAATCAACGATCTATTTATTACAAGCCTTGATCAATTGCATGACAACTTGGGTAACTAGAAAAAAAAAACATATACACAACATAAAAAACGTGGAACCATTTTCTTGTTGACTCATAACATCATACCTAGAATCTTCCAATCGTGTGTTCACTCATGCTGTTGATTACAGAGTCATGTGCATGCCACATGTTCTCGTTGCCCGCGGATACATCCAGCTGGTCGATGGTAATGCAGTATTTACTTTGATTTAGCCGCTCACTTAAAGGGACGAATTCTGTTAAGTAGGTGGCGCATTCGCGGGTCAAGAGCAAGAGGGCAGACGTTTGGGGCTGCTGATGAAGATGGTAGCGTCGTGGATGCAAGAAAGGTGGATGTGAAAGGGGTGGATGCAGGAGGACTTGAGAAAGTTGGTGCGTTGGAAGCAGGTGAGTTGTGTGGCAGCCCTCTGTGCACTCCTGATACCACTATATGCATTGCAGTCTGCTGGTCTCCAGTGGTGGCAGCAGGAGTGACAGAAGGTGTTCTAATAGCAGTTGCAGGAGGTGTGGCAGCATGTGCTGCAACCGGGGGTGCGACAGTTTCCTGAGGTGAAAAGCCGGGCAACAGTTGTAGAGATGAGCGTGGTCTGCATGGCCTGTAGCTCCTCTTCCTTCGCCACTGCCTCCACCCCCCTTCCCCTCCTTCCCCTGCCCTTCCTGCACCTGCAATTCCTCCCCCTGCTCTCCCCTCTGCTGCTCTTGCTCTCCCTTCACCAGCTCCTTCTTCCTCTGCTCTCCTTCTCTCTGCTCCACCTTCCCTGGCTCCCTCGTCTCCTGCTCTCCCTTCCCTTCCTCGCTGCTCCTCCATGTTCTTCCGCTTCCTCTCACCCCCCTGCAATCTTCTATGCTCTCCGCCAACCTCCGTCCCTCCACCCCCCTTTCCGTCCTCCCTCCCACCGTCCCCCTTCCCACCAAACCCCCTCCCACCAATCCCCATCCCACCATTCCCCATCCTACCATTCCCCCTCCCACCAGCCTCCCTTTCACCTGCCCTACTCTCATCAGCCCACCACCCAACATGGCCCCTCTGACAATGCTCCCCACCGTCCACCCGTTCACGCACCCTCCAACCAACCGTGCTACCACTTCTCCTCCCTCCATTCCCCCTTCCACACCTGGCATTACCAACACCCCCTCCTCTTTCCCCTCATTCCCCTCCCTTTCTTCCCGATTCTCCTCCTCTACCTCCTCCCTCACCACCCTATCCTCTTCATCCCCTTCCCCTTCTTCCTCAGTCTTCTCGTCCTCCTCTTCATCTTTCACCTCCCCGTCCTCCTCCGCACTCTCCTCCCCTTCTTCCCCATTCTCCTGCTCCTCCTCTTTCACCTCCCCTTTTTCCTCCTCGGTCTCCTCCGGTTCTTCTTGATTCTCCTCCTGTTCATCCTCTTTCACCTCTCCCTCCTCCTCCGTCTCCTCCCCTTCGTCCCCTTTCTCTAAATCATCCGCATCCTCCTCCACCTCCTCCTCTTCCCCTTCTTCCTCATCTTCTGCCACCTCCCCCTCTTCTTCCTCCCCTTCTGCCACCTCTCCCTCTTCTTCCTCCCCTTCTGCCACCTCCCCCTCTTCTTCCTCCCCTTCTGCCACCTCCCCCTCTTCTTCCTCCCCTTCAGCCACCTCCCACTCTTCTTCCTCCCCTTCTGCCACCTCCCTCTCTTCTTCCTCCCCTTCTGAAACCTCCCCCACTTCTTCCTCCTCTACTGCCACCTCCCCCTCTTGTTCCTCCTCGCTCTTCCCTTTCTCACCCTCAGCAAGTACGGTAGCAGGTGAAGGAGGCGCATGAGTTGCAGCAGTGGAAGGATCAGCAGAAGTTGAAGGAGCAGCAGCAGTGGAAGGAGCAGCAGCAGTGGAAGGAGCAGCGGCAGTGGGAGGAGCAGCAGCAATGGGAGGAGCAGCAGCAGTGGAGGAACAGCAGCAATGGGAGGAGCAGCAGCAACAAAGAGCAGGTCAGGAGAGAGGCTACGGTATGCCCGACGCAATTTCCCCCGTGCCGACACCCTCTGTCTCTCCTCCTCCTCCCCTTCCTCTTCATCCTCCTGCTCCTTCTCACCCACTTCCCGTTTCCGTTTCCTAGCCATTACACCCTGCTGCAATGCCCCTTCCTCTTCACCACCACCATCAACAGCAGCAGCATCAACAGCAGCAGCAGCAGCAGCAGCAGCAGCAGCAGCAGCAGCAGCAGCAGCAGCAGCAGCAGCAGCAGCAGCAGCAGCAGCAGCATCAGCATCAACAGCAGCAGCATCAACAGAAGCATCAACAGAAGCAGCAGCATCACCACCATCATGGTCAGTAGCATCCACAACACCAGTGGCAACAGCATCAGCAGCATAAGCACCATCAGCACCCGTTGCAGCCTGTTGAGCAATGGCTGCAGCAGAATCCGTAAGAGCATCATCAGCAGACCCAGCAGCAGCAGCATCAGTATCAATAGCATTATCCACTCCACCATCAGCAGCACCACCATCATCACCCGTTGCAGCCCCATGAGCAATTTCTGCTGCAGAATCAGTGGCAGCAGCATCAGCATCAGCATCAGCATCACCATCAGCACCATCAGCGGTCCTAGCAGAATCATCATCATCAGCAGCAGCATCCGCATCACCAGTGGCAACAGAGTCAGCAACATAAGCACCATCATCACCAGTCGCAGTGCCGTGAGCATTTTCTGTGGCAGAAGTTGTGGCAGCAATATCAGCAGGCCCGACAGTGGCAGCAGCAGCAGCATCACCACCACCACCACCACCACCATCACCATCAGAAACACTATCACCATCATCATCAGCAGCAGCAATGGCAGAAACGGTATCAGAAGATATCTCAAGAGGGAAGGTCACAAGATCACCTGCCCGAACAGATGCAACAACACCAATGGCACCACCACCATCAGCAGCAGCATCAGCCCTTGCGGCAGACAGCACATGCCCACACCAGGAGTACGGGGCATTAACCCTCCAGTCCTCCCAACCCCAACCATTCTCCACCACCGCCTCTTCCCCCACCTGCACCTCCCTCCGCTCTACCCCCGCAATCAGATAGGGCCTTTCAAGTGAAGCTAAGTGCTGCTCCAGAAGCTCTTGCAGCGGGCGAAGGTGATTAACTCTGACACACAGGCAGGAGATTGGGAAACACACCTCTGCCCAATCTAGCCTGCTCTCCCGCCCGTCATCCGCAACAAAGCGAGTGGCATCAGCCGCGGAAATAGCACTAATCTCTGTAACTCCAGTGCCAGAGAACATGCCCTCCCTCCCATTTGTGTTGCTGCCGAGATTGAAGCGGGGAGAGGCAGGTGCTGCTATTGCTGCTGCTGCTGATGACGAGGTGGCTGTGAGCGGCATCGGTGCATCACTGGTACGAGGGGCAGGATGATCACCGTTGGGGGGAGGCAGGGCGAAGCGGTGACGAAAGAGTTGTACACGAAAGGAGCAGTGGCAGCTAGCCCCCTCACCTCGTGGGACCGTATGGCTTCGACGCCTTACTGCTACAACCCGTCCATCGTAGTGCGCCTGTGGAAGTGGGGGGGAGCGACAAGGACACAACTTGAAGCAAATCATCACAGATTGGTAAACCTCTTAAATCACCAATGGCTGCACCGCAACACACTTTTCAAGCACTCAATGTCTCACCTTGTCACAAACGGTCCTGTCGCCTGCAGGATGCTTCACGAAAACAACTACTCCAGTGCCCTCCTTGATCAAGTGACAATCACTGGAATCAAGAGGACGACAGGCCAGCCGGAGCCAGGCCTGCACCACCACTTCATCCTCCTCCTCAGCAAGGTTTGCGTAGGAGACACTATAAGGCTGCAGGCTCCCAACCACCACTTGTTGCTGCCTTTCTGGATCACCTTCAGGTTTCCCCACAACGTTGCAAGCCCATATGGAGTTTCTTTGAAAGCATTCAAAACCCGAAGGGTGCAGAGCAAGAAAGGCAAAATAATATCAACTAAGAGAGCACGCAGAGTAGGGATGCCCACAAGGTCTCAGCTTGATTTAAACGACATGGAAAACAGTGGTTGGCATAGGACACTAGCATATATTGAATCAGAATTGACAACCCACTTGGTCTGTTCTCAAAGTTGTCTCCTGGTCCGGGCATCGCTGCTTGACTTCAGGCTTTTTGATAGGTGTCCTCAGTGTTGTAACAAGGTGCACACCAGGGCTGCCAAGGAGGTGAGGAGTGTGACAAAACATGTTGACAACATGAGAAAGTAGAAACATGGCAGGGAGGGTTGAGACAAGTAACAAACTGCAAGTAGATTTCAGCAAACAGGTTCAGTTTCGACAGACAGATAGGTCCAGTTCGACTTGGGGTGATTGAATGAGACCTCGGCTAGAGTGTTTGGCGGAAGCAGCTTTCGCGGCCAAATGAGGGATTTAGTGCTCAAATTTGCTCAAGTCTGGGATTGGGGCTCAGGCACAGGTCTGAGATTGGCGCTCAGCTTCTCAAAGGTCTGAGATTGGCGCTCAGCTTCTCAAAGATCTGGGATTGACGCTCAAGTTCAAACAGATCTGGGAATGGCGCTCAAGTTCGCACAGATCTGGGATTGGCGCTCAAGTTCGCATAGATCTGGGATTGGCGCTCAAGTTCGCACAGATCTGGGATTGGCGCTCAAGTTCGCACAGATCCGGGATTGGGGCTCAAGTTCTCACATATCTGAGATTATATTTCACGTTTACACAAAGGGATAAAAGGCAACCGCTACGTTTTATAATAACTTCCATTTTGGCCCAGTGGTTCAGTAGCACTAATCATAAAGATCCATCTCATCAAGCACAACTCATGTGCTGGAACTGCGGAGATAACTACTACAACGGGAGATAGACTACGGGGTAGGCACAGGGTAGGAGTGATCGTAGCGTTCGTTCCTTAGTCGTTTACTTGTGCTCTCTCTACTTGCGCATTCACAAGGAGAATTGGAAAAAGTTTCACTAACAAAAGTTCACAACAATGGTAAGAACAAAGTTGGCAACAATGACTACATCAGATGCTAGCATGCAGGCAGGTCGACTGCCAGCGCAGCATGGTCGACCGCGTTCCAGCACGACATTGTCGACCGCGCTCCAGCAGTGCAAAGTCGCGATCTGCCATTGTGCAAGTCGACGGCGTGCCAACGCTGCAGCAAGGCGGCTGCACAGCGTTGCACCCGCAGGACAGCAGTGCAACCGCTTCGCAGGTGCTCGCAGTTGATTGGCGCGCTGTGCCTCGTCACCTGCACAACGCAGACGCCAAGCCGACCACGTGCGCACGACTGCACCTGATCCGCCCACGACGACCTCGGGATACCATCTCCGAGGTCGGCTTCGCCAGAACCATCTGGGCGACTGTCGCGCACCTCCGCAGAACTTCGTCGCCCGGGTAACTTGGTCGACCTGGAAACCACCAGGTCGGCGTCGACTTCTTTGGGGAAAGTCAATGGTTGGGCATCATTGCAGAATGCGAAGCATTCATTAACACGACATCATTTGAGGATGTTTCTCCTCCTTCCGATGTTAACGTAATTCGTGAAAAGTGGGTGTTTTGGGTTAAATTTTCCTAGACAGCTCCCAATTTTCACGCCCCGGTAAAGTTCCCCAAGAGCAAGGACTTGACATAGTTAGCACATTTCCTCTTCAGCGTCGCTATTCGAGATGACATGGAAGTTGACAATATGGACGAGTCTACTATTCTTTGGTGTGATCATCAAGAAGAGAGTTGCACGGATCGATCAAGAGGTTTTTTCAGCCCCAAACCACCAAACACGGTTTGAAAGTTGAAGGGCTGGTGTTTAGGGTTTAGGGTTTAGGGTTTAGGGAATGGCACAGCAAGCTAAAAAAACATTTATCTATTGCTGAGCTTTCATGCCTCCACCTCCGATCCAGCCTCTTCATCCGATGAACACCATCTTGCTTCTTGATTCTAGTGAATGTGGATGTCATTGATATTTTGCGAAGAGCTCACCATGAAGGATGAGACGAACTATCTAGGTATGGAAATCAGACACAAATGGTTAGTTCGCACAATTACGCTCTGGCAAAGGTTTCCATATCCAATGTCCTTGAGCACCTTTGTATGTTCAATGCGAAACACATTCATACTCCACTCCCGCTACGACACCAGCTCACCATCGATGCATCGTGGTGAGACGCCGCTGAGTCTTCTCCCATAGTTGCTGCATGGTGGTGACGAAGTCACGCGCGGCTTGGACGTGTGCCGGTGTTATTGGTGATGTGGTGTAATTGGTTCTTGTCCGTAGCAATGGGAAGAAAGGTGATTTCTTTGTGGCCGCGTGTGAAGCGTTGTTATAAGCGAACTGTAGGGTCGATAACTGTAAATCCCAGTGGCTATTGTCGTCTTTGCATGCTGTACGCAGTAGCTGTTCAACCACCCAATTGAGTCGCTCTGTCTATCTGTCGGTCTGAGGGTGGTATCACGAAGACATCGCAAGCTTTGCCCCCAACAAACCCATGAGTTCCCTCCAGAACTTACTTGTTAACTTTGGGTCTCTGTCCGAGACGAGTGTAGCGGGGATGTCGTGGATGGTGACGATGCGATCGAAGAAGAGGCGAGTAGCTGCTTTGATTGTAGCCGTGGTGTTGGTACGGATGAAGTGTCCCATTTTATAGAACTTATCGATAACGACGAGTCTAGCATCATGCCCTCGTATCGTCGATGGCAGTCCAGTGATGAAGACGAGACCGACAACGTGCCATGACTCCTCCGGGTAGAGGCTGCAATAACCTTGCTATTTTTTGCTTGCTACTCTTCATCCGCTGACATGTGTCGCATGAGGTGACGAACTGCTGCACGTCTGTTGCCATCCGGGGCCAGTAGTAATATTTTGCTAATCCCACAAGGGTTTTGTTACTTTCCAAATGTCCCGCATATGCCACATCATGGAACTCCTCCAGTAAGTGCTGTCAGAGTGGGGATTAGTTCTGTACCCAAATCGTTCATGAACCCTTCCGTACTCGTAAGTTCTTCTCCTACTGTAACAGTTTCTACTTCTCTGCCGTAGCAATTTTTGTGTCCACGTAGTACCCATGTTGGAATAGGCCCAGTGCAGGGGGTTCATCCCTTCAAGCTGGATCCCTGCGACATGCTCGGGCCGGCCCAGTGCATCGGCCTTGTTGTGTAACCCTGGCTTGTAGACAACGTCGTAGTGGAAGTGTGTCCCGAGGAAGTCCATCCACCGCACATGTCGTTGTGAGAGAGTAGGCTTCGACTGTCAAACATTATACTTGTTATATTTGTGTAGGCTATAGTGGGTTAGCCTTCTAGGGGGTACACTACTCTAGGTTTGTGGTACTTGTACTCCATTCTGTTTCTAGTTCATCATTCTTGTTCTCTCTCAGTTTCTAACATGGTATTACGAGCCTAGGTCGTAACCTAGGACCGAACGATAGGGCCCACCGTTTTCGCATAGTCGCGCCCTAGCGCGCCTCGCCTAGTCGCGCCCTCGAGCGCCCTCCTCTCTCCCTCACTATCGCGCGCCCTTGCGTGCCCCTCGCGATCGGCCCCGCCTAGCCCGTACGCCCTAGCGTGCCCCGTGCGATCGGCCCCGCCCACCTCGTACGCCCTCGCGTGCGACCCGTGCAGCCCCACGCGCCTAGCCTGCCCCGCGCGCGCCCTTGCGTGCCTCGTGCGGCCCCGAGCGCCAGCTGCCCCACGCGCCCGTGCGCGCTCCTTACGAACCGGCCCCACCTACCCGCGCGCCCTTGCGTGCCCCGAGCGACCGGCCCACACCCACCCGCGCGCCCTTGCGTGCCCCTCGCGTACCGGCCCCGCCCCGCTAGCACGCCCTTACGTGCACCGTGCGACCAGGCCCCGCCCCGCTAGCTCGCCCTTGCGTGCCCCGTGCGACCAGGCCCCGCCCCGCTAGCCCGCCATTTAGTGCCCCGCGCGGACCGGCCCCGCTCTGCCCTGCACGCCCTCGCGTGCCCCACCTCGAGTAGCCGCCGCCTAGCCGAGCCGAGCCGCCCCACCGAATCGCGTCGCCCGGCCCGAGCCGCGCCGCCCTACCGAGCCGCGCCGCCCTACCGAGTCGCGCCGCCCTACCGAGCCGCGCCACTGCTGCTGTCACTATTACTACTGCTACTGCTCCTACTGCTCCTACTGCTCCTACTGCAACTATGGCTAGCCCTGCTGTGCTCGCTTTCGATGCTGAGGGCCGCCCGCTGAAGTTTGACACCTGGCTAGATGACTTGCACCTGTTCCTCCAGCTCACTGCCAAGGAGGATATCTCGCTGTACGATCACGCACTAGGACTCGCTCCTGCCCCTGCTGCTACTGCTGACAGTACTGCCCGCTCACAGTGGCAGACTCGTGACGCCCACGCTCGCTTTGCTATTCGCAACTC